CTGCATAATTACTTACATAAAGAAATATATTTTGTGTTGGATCAGCTACCTCTGTCGGGAATGTGCAGCAGACACACCCACCTAAACCATTTCAATATATCGCTTATCCTGCCTGAAAAGACCATAAACATTGCAGATAACATCTTAAATAACAATTCATTTACATACACATATTTACATACACTTCAAATGTGGTGATTTTAGGTCAAGGATTTGGCTGTCAGTCAATGATGCTCTCTGTTGAAAAGATGTCAAAGATTGAGGTGACCTTCACATACAGTTTGTATGAGTGACCCACACTTCTTTTTCCTGTAACTTTTTTAAAATTATAGATGTGAATGAATGTGTTGAGCTATCAGACATCTGTGGTCCAAACTCAATCTGCAACAACACTGTTGGGAGTCACAATTGCTCGTGCATGAGTGGATATAATGTAACAGACCCAAACCTCCCTATAAACAGCAATAACACATGCAAAGGTATGATTGACAGCTGAAGCTCTGAACAGTTTGTTACTATTAGTACTGCTTGAATCTTCCTTCAACTGTAACCTTTCACATTACCAATTATTTTATTTCAAATATTCATTAGTGTCTTGACTGAATTTGTGTGTTGTCTGAACTGCTGTTATAATTGTTATTGCATAACATACTTTTTTTTTAATAATCACTTTTTTAAATAGATATAAAAGAATGTCTGTTCAGTCCATCCTGAAATACCATTTCACTTTCATGTTTTAGGTGTTTATATTTGTGATTTTTTTCCCCTCTAGATATAGATGAATGTCTGTTCAGTCAATCTGTATGTGGTCCAGATTCTAACTGCACAAATGAAATTGGAAGTTACAATTGCTCATGTCTGGATGGATTCACTGCAACAAACTCAAGTCTCCTCATCAGCATCAGTAACACATGTAGAGGTACGTTTTATATTTATATTTCTGTTTACTCTAACTTTATAACCTTGAATAATTAGCTAGTATTTCAGTTTTTTTTCTTTGCATATACATTTTTGTAAACAATATAAACAAGCCGTTCTTTTGTAAAGATGTCAAAGATTGAGTTGACTGTCGTTTATGTATAAGTGACCCAAACTGTTCTTTTTCCCATAACTTCCTTTTAATATAGATGTGAATGAATGTGTTGAGATATCAGACATCTGTGGTCCAAACTCAATCTGCAACAACACTGTTGGGAGTCACAATTGCTCGTGCATGAGTGGATATAATGTAACAGACCCAAACCTCCCTATAAACAGCAATAACACATGCAAAGGTATGATTGACAGCTGAAACTCTGAACAGTTTGTTACTATTTGTACTTCTTTCAACTGTAACCTTTGAAGTTATGAATTATTTTATTTCAAATATTTATAAGTGTCTTGATTCACCATCAGTGTATTGGCCGAACTCTCACTGTTACAATGAAAATGGAAGCTACTTGTGCTGTTATAATTGTAATTAAATAAAATTACTTTTTTTTTTTAGTTTTTTTTTTTTATAATCCCTTATTTTAGTATTTTACTTTTTCCATAGATGTAGATGAATGTCTGTTCAGTCCATCTGTATGTGGTCCAGATTCCAACTGCACAAATGAAATTGGAAGTTGTAATTGCTCATGTCTGGATGGATTCACTGCAACAAACTCAAGTCTCCCCATCAGCATCAATAACACATGTAGAGGTACATTTTATATTTAGATTTGTGTTTACTCTAACTTTTAATAATTAGCTACAGTTTATTCAATTGATTTTTACTTTCTATTTCATATTTGTAAGCATTCTGTTGAAAAGATGTCAAAGATTGAGTTGACCTTTACATACAGTATGTATGAGTGACCCAAACTTATTTTTCCTGTAACTTTTTTAAAATTATAGATGTGAATGAATGTGTTGAGATATCGGATATTTGTGGTCCAAGCTCAATCTGCAACAACACTGTTGGGAGTCACAATTGCTCGTGCATGAGTGGATATAATGTAACAGACCCAAACCTCCCTATAAACAGCAATAACACATGCAAAGGTAGGATTGAGAACTAGTATTTATGGTACAAAATCATGTCAAAGGACTAATGAGAGGCTTGTCATGTTTTTTTTTTTATTTTTAGTTGGTTTCTTTTTTCCCGAAATACAACAAAATCTGAGATGTTTCTCAAACCTGTAAATATTTCCGTATTTTGGTCTGTTGAGTAAAGGTTCAAGAACTGTAATCTGTCCCTTTATAATTTTTTTTTGTTTTTTTTTGTTTCAGATATTCATGAATGTCTTGACTCAGTATCAGTGTGTGGACTAAACTCTCACTGTTACAATTACAACGGAAGCTTCTCATGTTTTTGTTGGGAAGGATATAATGTCTCGGATGGAAATAAAGATATTTCCAAAAGTAATCCATGCATCGGTAAGTTTGCTGTATGTTATATTTACTGTTATGATTTTCAGGTATTATTTATTGGAAACTGCTCAAAATGATGTCATCTTTAGATTGTTGTGTAATTTAAAATATGTCTGTATCAATGTTAATAATCATTATTTTTTATTTATATATAATCTTGCTTAATTATTTTTCATTCTTCTAAAATAATTTGGACATACATTATTTCTTCCTTCATGATTTATATTCTCCTTTTTATAGACAGATGACTGCCATGAGATAACAAATGTCTTTCATGTGTTTAGGTGATTGTGTTAATGAAAATAGTTTTTAAATTATCAGTTTAATATTTTTTTTTCATAGATATAAATGAATGTCTGTTCAGTCCATCTGTATGTGGTGCAAATGCCAACTGCACAAATGAAATTGGAAGTTATAATTGCTCATGTCTGGGTGGATTCACTGCAACAAACTCAAGTCTCTCCATCAGCATCAATAACACATGCAAAGGTACTGTATGTGCAGATCTCTGTGTACTTTAATATTAAATTAAAAACTAGATGTTTTTGCGCAACATTAGTCCAATCAGTTTTATTCATCTAAATAACAATTATGTGTTTAATGCCAACATTATGAGGTTTCAGTGTTCCTGCTTTGGACACAATATTGTAAATGAAGCATTCTATTGTAAAGATGTCAAAGTATGAGTTGACCTTCACATATGTATGAGTGACCCAAATTGTTCTTTTCCCTGTAATTTTCTTTTAATATAGATGTGAATGAATGTGTTGAGATATCAGATGTCTGTGGTCCAAACTCAATCTGCAACAACACTGTTGGGAGTTACAATTGCTCGTGCATGAGTGGATATAATGTAACAGACCCAAACCTCCCTATAAACAATAATAACCCATGCAAAGGTATGAAGCAATGAACAGTTTGTTACTATTTGTTCTGCGTGAATCACCCTTCAACTGTAACCTTTCAATTGATTAAATTAAATTTTATTTCAGATATTCATGAATGTCTTGACTCAGAATCAGTGTGTGGCCCGAACTCTCACTGTTACAATTACAACGGAAGCTTCTCATGCTTTTGTTGGGGTGGATATAATGTCTCAGATGGAAATAAAGCTATTAGTAAAGGCAACCCATGCAGTGGTCAGTTTTTATTTATAAAATATTCTGCATTACAGCTTTTGGTTATTGCATAATTTAGTCATTAATTATTACTTTGGTGATTTTTAAAGATTCTCATTACAAATATAACATTTCAGGATCCAGATTATTATTATTATTACTGTTATTGTAAATGTTGACATTTCAACTTAATTTATGTACTCCTTGTATAGATGTATTTAATAACTTTAAGTAATTACTTTTTCAAATATTTTTTTTCGTAGATATAGATGAATGTTTGTTCAGTCCATCTGTATGTGGTCCAAATGCCAAATGCACAAATGAAATTGGAAGTTACAATTGCTCATGTCTGGATGGATTCACTGCAACAAACTCAAGTCTCAACATCAGCATCAATAACACATGTACAGGTACATTCTGTTTTCAGATCTGTGTATACTCTGTCTTTTTTACATGGGTAGTTCTAGTCTTGGCTTCTTATTGGTCAGTACAGTGTTCAGTAATGCTGAAATCCACTATATAGTAATAGCTATAGTGTGAAAAACACCTGTTTATCATATTGTTGCTCAGCACTCAGGTGATAGTGATTTTTGTTGAATTGCAACATTTTGTTGTGTCATGTATATCTTACGGTGGAAGGATGTCATTTAAAGTGTTTGCTTAAAAAGATAATAAAAATGTGTGTCCTAAATTTTTATTATGTAGAAACAATAAGGTACTTGAGGCAATGTTGTAGTTTAAATATAAACATAATATAGACAAAATATTTATGGAAATTCAGTTTGGAATTGTAAACATATACAAAATTGTAAAGCTTCTTTTTTTAATTTATAAATTTGGATTTAAGGCATTAGATTGTAAAGACAAACAATATGTTGACACCATCATCCATAATAGAAAACTGGATTACTCGTGACGTCATAAAAGTGAAGGCACTGCACCTCCATGATGGTTTTCTCTAGTATTCCCATATATTCTGTTGAATTAATAGGAAATCGTAAGATTTAATGAGAGAAAACTCAACATATATTACGAAGGATTAATTAAAGGGTTAGTTCACCCAAAAATGAAAATTAGCCCATGAATTACTCACCCTCAAGGCATCCTAGGTGTATATGACTTTCTTCTTTCAGATGAATCCAATCGGAGTTATATTAAAAATTGTCTTAGATCTTCCAAGATGTTTAATGGCAGTCAGCGGGTGTTGCAGTTCATCAGTCCAAAAGAAGTGAAATAAAGCGCATCTATCCATAATAAAAAGTGCATCACACGGCTGCGGGGGGTGAAAAAAGGCCTCCTGTAGCGAATCGATGCGATTTTGTAAGAAAAATAACCATATTCTAAACGTAATAATCACTTTAATGTAGCTTGCGCTCACTGCTGTACACTGGAAGCAATTCCGGGCGGATGACGTATGGAGGTCGGCTTTGCGCATGCGCCGCTCAGAAGTGACGAACGTGGAAGCGCAGCGGAGAGATCACAACAAAACACCGGTCACGAATTAGAAGTACAAATCGAGGATTTGTAAAGAAGAATGTCAGAGGATTTCGATAT